AAAGGCACGCTCTTCAATCATAGGCAAAAATGCCCCCCCCCTCCATGAGGAAGTAGCTTGGTCCGCAATGGTAGTGGCTCCACCACTGGAGTAAAAGCGAGCGTCGTGAAGCCCAGGAAAACCGTAATTTACATAAAGCGTAGCCTCTTCTATGTCACTAATCTAGTGAAAATCCACATGAGGGGAACTTCGAAATTTGGAATTTTTTTGTTTTTTTCAAACATTTTTATTTTCCTTCAAAACAACAATATCTGTCGAATTCAGGAACATGGCTCACCGTCATTACCTTCACTATACTCATTGGCGCCGTCAGATATGTCCGGTAACGAGCCGTTATGTCGGATTTGCCACTGTTGTTGGCCATCAGATGCCTCCGACCCTCTGATATCGCCATGTCGATGTTCAGGATCATTGCAATATGTACATGTTTCATGTTTAATGGTGAGTTTGATTTATTGTATTTCAGTTAAAAACCTTTATCTTCGAAAAATATCGGCAATCGTTTTTCGCTTTCGGCAGGTCATTCATCATTAAGTTTCTGTGAAAACTCGTCGTCGTCGCTTAATCAGCTGTCACCTGTCATTTGTCTTCGGGTTGATTGTCGCGAGTGACTCGCGGTCGGGGGCCAGATGTCTTTGTTAACCGCGAACGCGTTCTACAGTTGTCCAGCTGGCCACTTACTGGCTTGAGGGTTGCGAAAACCTTGAAAACTTTTGTGCAGAGCGGATGACAGGTGCTTTCCCTAGCGCCTTGTACTATTCGACGAAGGAGTGGCAATGAACTGAATACTTATTGATCGCTCACTTAGTTTTTGGCTATGAACGTGAGTTCAAAGGAATTGAGGATTGTCCAGTTGATATCGTCGCAATCAGTTGGGGAACTGGAGGATGGGTGAAGGGAGGGGTGCGGTTGTCAGGAGGGGCGAAATGAGCCCTGAGCTCCGATTCCCACTAATGCTGAACTGTGGCTCGTAACAAGGAAGAACGAAGACGTTAGTGACCCTGCACAATGATTAACGGGAGACAGGTGATACAGGAAGGACGATAGTGGTGACGAATTCATCATGCATCCATTAGGCAGGTGGCAGACGTCGGGCAATATTCTGTGGAAAGGTTCACATTGTTCACATTGTCCCAAAAGGATATTCCTCCCACCTGAAAAGAAACTGGACACTCACCTCGGATTGCAGTCCTCATGTGCGAGGTGAATGGGTCCGCTGCCGTAGAGTGTTACTTATCCTCTCAAAAGTGCACGGGAACGAGGCTGGAGGTAAGTGTATACCCCCAAGGGCCGTCTTCATACTCCGCCCGCGCTGCCGCATGGACACGTACGTAAAAGCGCTACTTATCTGCGCCCACTCACTTGTTGTTCTGCACCGCAAGGCCTGTTTTGCTGCGATCGTAGTATCGGCCGCACGCGCAGCAGCCTTGCAAGGTAGCGTGGTGAAGTGGGGGAGACGTTGCCGGGTACCACCAAACTCTCTCAGACCTCGTTGTGTTTCTTTTGACGCGACCCGAGGTGGACGCCTGCTGGCAGCTGGACTCGTTGTGGAAGAAGGTCCTCGTGCGTGAGTGTACAGTTCGTCCTTTTAACATGCTGAAGTTCCCATTCCACACGGATTGTGTTGGGAAAGGGATCAATCGTGATCGCACAGTTCGCCGGCTCATTTTCGTTGCGGTGTTGGCGCACGTGGGGCATTTTGCACTTTAACGACTTCCCATCGACGTGTCGACCCATCTAGACAGCCTCTTCTCGAGTTGACAGGTTTTACCATGATGGCTTGACGAGCTTGCTACGGCAGGTTCCCAAGTGGCTCACAGGTTTCAACCAGAGTGAATACTTGTAAACCAGATACTAGTGAGCAACGAAAATCCGAAAATGCCCTCCCCCCGCGCCCCCGTCGGCGAATCGCGCCTTTCTCGCTCCAATTACTAGGTAATCAGTGAGAAATCACAACTGGATAAGCATCTGCTATGGTTCAAGTGACTTCTCCCATAGATCACAGCCAGTATATGTTTTATTAGGCTTGACGTTTCTTTCTAACAACTTCGGCGCAAGGCAGCCAATACTGATAGTAGCTCTAATGAAAGCAAATGCCGCTTCGCTGCCTTGGCAGAATTTTCGATGGTGAATGTTAGATTCTTTCTTACTTTCCACGAGATATTAGATGGGGTGGAGTAGCTTCGCGCGTCACGATATACTTCAGCTATTTCAAGGCATAGGTCCTTCAAGCGCTCCCGCTCTAGAAGTCGGTTAAGTCATGTAGAACTAATTTAGAGAGCGTTGCCTCGAAAATCAGTGAGCCCCAACAAGTTGTGATCTAGATAGGATATGAAATGTCTTCGAAGTTTTGAATGGAGCTTAAAGGCACAGTCCGCGCTGACAGTCTGGGCGGAGTTCAGCCTACCATTTTGCCTTCCTCGTTAGCGCGTACTGCTTCCAAGGAGTGAGGAGGAGGAACGCACTAATGAGGGACACACTGTGATAGGTCTGACTCTGCCCCACAATCAGTGTATACTACGCCGTTAATTGTGGAACGTCCACCACTTCATTCTTTTTACTATTTGCGATGGATGTTATCACCTGAAATCAATGAGTTATTGTTTTTCAGCACTGGTTAGATATCTCATCGCGAAAGTTACATCGACCAGCCGTTTGCGAGCTATGTCTGTACAAGTATAGGAGAAGACGTGTTCTCAAGGTTAGTAGCTACCGACAATGGTTTTAGATTAAGGAAACATCACGTTGTCTCATAATTTCCGGAACACACTGTTCTGAAGATTATTTTTCAATAATTTCACCAGCTTTCTTACTCTTTTTCTTCTTCCCGGAAGTTCGCTATGAATCTCCAGGTTTTTCCACTCAGCAGCCGTTATGTTTGCATAAACGCGTTGTTTTCGCAGTAGCTTACCAGAACGTTCAAAGTTATTGAAAAATACCTCAAGTGTAAGATTCTCTAGCACTAGAGTTGATGCCGCTGAGGTTAAATAAATAGGTGTTGAAGGGAAAACAAAAGGTGAAGAGTGAACTTATGATGATGCTAAACGTTCTCTAAAGAGGATTAGGGTCCAAGGCGGAGGGTCGAGGGTAGTGTAGCGGGGTCTGTAGTTATACAGAAGTTTGAGAAAGAACCAGTAGTTGCAAGTGAAATACACTGAGAACAATAGAGATTTTTGTAGTTCTGGACTGACCAGGTGCAAAGAGGCTGGCTGCTTTGGGCGTGCATAGCTTCTCCTCTTCATTACTTGCTTCTTATTTATTCTCTTGCATTTAAATTATATTTCCTCTTTGTTTACCACGTATGACGGTTTCAGAGACAGAGAGCAGTATTTTATTCAATATTTTTTCACAGTTTTTCCATTATTCTGGTAGTTGCTGTTTCCCTGTATCCTGACAAATCGATATATCGATTTGTTTACAGTATCGCGAGATCAAGCTGCCAGACTGTTCGGATCGGGATGTACGGTATTACACGTTATTCGTCTGTGCGCTAGCAATGATGATTCTGTCAGCTTTGGCTACGATCGTGTGCTTTCAATTGGAGAAATCCTATTCAACGCATTCCAATAAGTAGGTTCCAACTTTACTAATGAAATATTTCCTTGCGTTCTTTTATGCTATTTATATCACTTCTGTTTGGCGCTGTTCGGCTTGGGGTGGGCACTTCGCGATGTTGCTGACTTTGTTTGCTAGTTCCTCCTGAATATTACATGTCTCACCGTGAGGCCTGTAGCCTCTTGCCAAGTGTGAACGAAGCTCATACTATTGCATAGCTTTGCAGGAATTTACAAGCATGGTCAGTAATGGATGGGGATCACCTAAATGCCCCCCCCAAGCCGAACTGCGCCCTGGCTTTTAAGTTACCAGTTTCGATTAAGTTAGAATTGAAAGAAGGGACTATAGCAGAACTGGGTAGGGTAGGAGACTCAGTAGATCCTTGCACTGCGCCATGCTCTTGCTTCACTACTTTATAGCCTCCTAGGAAACCTTTCGATTGAATGCTCACGAACTTTGTTAGTTTGCTACGCAATAAAGTACACTTACTGGTTTTCGGTCTGCAATAGACCTTGTAGGGTCTTATTAGAGGCTCCCATGGTTGGTTCGATTTTGTTGTATGAAGGTATGCAATGGAAACTTCACTTCAACTCATACGCGCCTCTATGAAGAACTGATTTCTCATTGGTAGCTCCTTCCTCTTTTGTTTTTCGGGTACCTGTTCTAAGAATACCGTAAGCTGGTTTTTACCTGGACAGCAGGACAGCATAAAGTGGTTCCGGCTCATATACTTTGCGGAACCCGGATTTTTTTCCAAATTTTTACAATTTTTGAGTGGCTTAACTGTCGTGAATCTTTTTGAGAATCTTGAATGCATTTTCTTCGAGTGGTCATGCGCGAGTAAATCAGTGCACAAGGGCGGAGTTTGTGCTCGTTCGGCGGCTCGTGGGTGCGTGGTGAAGGCGATAGGGACCTATTTAATTGGCTGGTCAACTTGGTGGATAGTCTTCACAGAATGGTGGCCATGTTGATAGTACAAGCCGCGCATCGCGCAGATGAGATAGTGGGATTGCGCACTCCATAGCTGATTAACCCATTGGTCGATCAAAGGAACCGCTTGCCTAAGGACAGAAGATAGTGAAGGGTAAAAGGGTGAGCAAGTCATTGTAATGGATCACCAGGGTCCTATTACTATCTTTCTACTTGTTTTTCGTCTTGCTTGTGTTGACGGAACGGGCAACTTAGGCAGCGTACGACCTGCACTATTGATATCAACCCGCGTCTTCACAGGGAGGGATGCTTGCGACCAACTGTGATAAGAGAAGAAGTAGTAGAAATTCAGACGAAAAAAGCCCTGTGACAGGGGCGCTATTTGGGTTGGGAGGGGCATTTTGCACTTTTGATAGTTCTTTTGCTAAGTCAGATTAACTAATATGTCTCATTTTGGTGAAATCTTAGACTCTTGTGAAGCTGTGGAATGACACAAGTGTGCCTGTGCCGCTTTACTTACAGGAGTTTAGGGGTTTTCAAAAGGTGACCTGTTCGCTAGATACTATTGGTGCCCCATCAAGCCGAACTGCCCGCAGTAATGATATCAGCAGACATCACTAAACTCGTACAGCCATGCCAATGCAAATTGTCGCTCATATGTCCCCTCGGAATGAACTGCCTAAATATGTTGCGCCCCGAGTTCTTTTTGCTTCGCCGTTTTATTTCTTTCTAAATTGTGATTAATCAATTTCGCTCAGCTTGCCTCTAAATAATGCGAAGCATGCTCTCGAAAGTATAATTCTATGCTGACATATGGCGGGAATCAGGCCTCGCCGTGCTTCTCCTCATTGCGCGACTCTAATTCTCTTGCTGTTAAATATTGAAAATCAGGCTAGCGTCTGGGTGAGAAGACCTGAATACAGGCCCTCGACTCCGCCCACCAGTCCTTAGCGAGTGACTGGAATTCAAATGAAAGCTGTGTGTTCAGAACCGGTCATCGTGCAGCCTCTGCCTCCGTCGAAAGAGCACAGGAATGCACTGCCGGTAAGCTTGCCGGCACCTACGGAGTTATTGGCATCTGGGAGGACTCTCATTGCCGCTATTCTGTTCTTCTTCAGCTTTTTCATGGCTATGTATGCTCATGTTAAGGTGAGTCACTGTGATTTCTTTTTTTATTTTTATTAGGATGTTTTTTCTAGTAATTTATTGAGGGCCGATAGATGACCGGTAAAGCAAACTTGATAACCCGCCAGTCGCTGGGGTTCTCAAAATTCCGATGATCTTCAGTTTTATCAGATACGATTTCAGGCGCGAGGGGGGGGTGGAGGAAGAGAGATTGTAAAGTTTTTTGCTCTGTACCCTCTGCTCCCAGTTGCTTTCTTGCCATCGTACCCGTGCTTTTACTTCACAATCCTTCTTTCGCTTGTTTTCCTTCACTGTTTTCGGTCTGAAGAGGTGTCAGACTTCCTCAGCATTTGATCGATGCACAATTACTCATCCTCCAGCTATTCAATCATCTTGTTTTCCATTGACTTCATTCATCGACTGCTTTTCTCTGATACCGCCAATGTTCACCGGCATTTTAAGGGAAGTTTTCTTGGCACTGCTTACCCTGCCCCATGATCCCTATTTTGGTACTGGTTTTTGATCGAAGGCTTTCCTCTGGGGATTTCCCGTGACCGCAGTTTTGTCTCCAGCAGTAGTCTGGCTCCCTGAACAACAATATTATGTCGATCTGGAGCGAAAATTGGTGCCAAGAGCAGGGCACATCGTTGTTGGGGATTCCCCAACAGGAGGGGGTCGTATTTGCTCGCTGGGAGGGAGGGAAGGGTCGTATTTGGGCTCAGAGAAAATGGTTGATTTTCTCTTGTTTCACTGACGCTGTAAAGGGGGGGGGGTCGTGTTTGCTCGTTGTTGGGAGGGGAGGGGGGGGTGGGGTCGTATTCCCCTTCTGACCCATCGAGAGAGAGAAGTTGCTGACTTTTAGTTCTTGTTTTTTCCTCATTCATTTGTACTTTATACCACCCCCTCCCCGACAGCGAAATTTTTGTATAAAAGCAGGGAGATTTTCGGGGAATTCCGGAAAATTTCCGGGTAGGAAGTTGAGGAAAACCCAAGGTGGCGAGGGGGGGGGGGGGGTCGTATTTTCTACAGCTCCATGAGGAGGAAACAGGGAGGAGGTCGTACGGGCTCGACCAAAACCCCTAACCAATGATGTGCCCTGGCCAAGAGAAGGCGATTTTAGTGTTAAGATTGCCAAACTACCACTGGGGGCGAGTTTTCAGCAAAAACTGGGAGTCTGGGTTTCTTACGTGCCAGATGTTTTGTTTTTTCTAAAGTGAAAGTCGTGCTCTAGCGGTGGACCTATCGGTGGGAAGAATATTTCGGACAAGTCCGTCCCAAGAGAAAAATTACTATGAAGACTGGGCTACGGGGTTAGTGAAGGGTAAATAAGGCTGTTTCCATGAACCTTTCCATCTTACGAAGTTAACTGCTCCAAGTGGAAATAGATCCATCTACATTTTCCGCTTAATGCGTCGTATTTTCTGTTGTCACAATAACTCTCATTCTGGGTCAAAGAATGTCAAGGGCACTAAAACAATACAGAAACGAAAATGCCATTGAGCTGAGAGAGTCAGAGTGGCCCCGGTAGCGTAATGGATAAGACGTCCCGATAAGCGGGAGATGCGGGTTCGAGCACGTCTGAGGTCTGACTGTTTGCCCATAACTCAGCATCCTTGTGATTATAAAGACACAGCATCTTTGTGATTATAAAGAAATTGTAAAGGCTTAGTTGTATCGCTTGCTCTGAAGCAAAGGCCAGTCGTCTCCCTGGAGGGGCTTGGTGGCAAGCCTGAAATACCGCTGAAATCCGCATCAGAGATCCGTAAATGGGTCACGCTTCAGCTCCTTTTTCCAAGGTCTTTTGAAGTCCCAGGGGTTCTCACGTCGCGAGCCCTTCCAGTGTTTAGGCGTACCAAAAATGCACTATCCCACCTCCGAATTTTTAAAACAAGAAGAAACTTCAAAAACTTTGTTCCAAGGAGTTCAAAAGATTTAAGGATGCGTGTCTTCACTCGTGCTCTATTCTGACATCGCAACACAATGTCGCGCAAAAATCTCACCCCCTCCCATTTCCCCTTCCCCCCAGAGCAAAAAAATCCTAACAATAGGAACTGGGTGTCGTTGTGCACCTGTCGCATGCCTACTTGAACATCTGAGACCTCATTACGGTATGTAAATGAGGTGTGAAACGACACCGTCCTCCTTCTATTTATGGTATTGCTTTGCACCTAACAGGTGTTCTAGTTTACGGTTTGTTGTATGCGAGAAATCGATATATTGATTGATACGGATGTTTCTTTCAGTCGGGTATCAGTTTTTGTGGCTATATTTCATTATGTTGGAGTTCGAATTTGGAGTGGACAATCGAAGAATATAAACAGTCGCGAGATTCGCAATATCTCAATAAACTCGAAGAATTACGACGGAAAATCAACGGTTCGTGGCATAGCCAATAACTTTTTATTATCTTTCTTTTGGTTTTTTTTTTGTCTGAAATATGTATTTTTCCATACAAACAGGACTTTCTTATTTCATCCAGTGTCCTAATTTGCTGAAAAAATTCCTCATCGCGATGGGGTTTCAAAATCTTTTCCATAAACTAAATAAAAAAGGTATTGATCAGTTATGGAGATCTAGTCATCGTAAAGAGTTACCCCGAGAGATAATTTTCACCTCTAACTTTATTGAGTTAAGAGATACCGTGTAACTAAATTTTGCTGTCATAAAATGCCGTGGTTGTTGCAAGTTTTTCATCAGTGATTACCACCACTAAGAAGTGAGTAACTTCACTCGGGTAATTCCGAGGTAACTCGGGTGACTCCTAGCCTTGCTCCTTCTTGTTGTCATCTTCTATTAGGTTGTCCGGAAAGTTCTCAGCGTTTTGGGTGTTTCACTTTAAACGATCGTAACTTTTTTATACTCATCGGATTTAATCGAAATAGGCACCATTCGAATCAGCACACTTTTGCCAATGTGACAGCAGTCGAGAAATCCCATCAAAGAAAAAACTGGGTGGTCGAGAAT